ACGAATATGCGACCAGAGATCTTTGACGGTGTTCAGTGGGCGCTTACTCAGCCCGCATGTCAGCGCACTTTGATACACATTCAGAACACCTGGCTTCACCAGCTGGCTGGTGTCAATCCGTTGACATCGATGTTGCGGACGTCCACCGAAACGCACCCGGAGGTCGGCGCAGACAAGTGCGTGGTCAAAGTTCACGCTGGTGCTCCAACTCGAGCGACAGTTTTGGACACAGCCTCCTCAGCGGTAACCGATCGCGATATGATCGATTTGCGTCCATGGCTAGTACGAAGCTGCTGGGCGCCAAGTCACGCTTCTGCGGGTCAAAAGTTAGTGCTCGCGCGAAAGAGACGAGCATCCCACACAGCTGTAGCACTCGTTCACTATAATCATTACGGGAGCTTACACCATGTTGGCCGCTCAGATGAAGCTCATCAGAGAATAAGTTTCCGACTTGGGCGTTTAGATCCCCAGCCAACACCGTAGTATCCGTGCTTCTTATGTAACGAAGGAGATCGTGAGGTTGCTGATAGAAATCCTTTTTCACCGAATCGGTGTTATAGTTTGTACTTGTCCAAGCCATCGTAGTTCGCGCAGTGGCGCAAGTGTCTCGAGGGAGTGGCTGCTTGCACTCATGATACCCTGTCTGACTTCGACGATGGTTTTGTGGTACAGCCACTACACACGGAAGATGGACCGCAAGCAACGGTTCTCGAAGACAGACAGTCGGTGCATGTCATAGGTACGATCAGGCCAAGTATCACAACAGTACAGCGCCAATGGTCGCATTATAAACCCGGTCTGTGACAGATGTTATAGTGTCATCATTAATGCCTCAGCCTGGAGAAGGTGAGACAAGCTCTTGAGATGCGCATGGAAATCTCGTTTCCAGCAGCCTTACCAGCAGTGATGCAGCTTCCCATGTAGACAAAAATCTGAACGACTTCCAGCGTCTCACCATCGATAGTAAGTGCAGGTATGGGCGAATACCGGTCATGAAAAAGCGCTTTGCAGTTGGATGGTGAAAGCTGCATGCCACACTTCGACGCTTCAATCGCCAGACGGTTGAGTGCAAGTTGGAATCTTGAAGAAACCTCTCGACTAGTTCTGAGAACATTGTGACGAGACGGACAATTTGGCTCAAACTAATGCGGAGCCTGCTTGCTGACAAAGAAGCTTGGTGGACCAGTCGGGATCATGAAATGGAAGAGGCGGGAGCAGTACGCAATTGCTGCAAGCTCTTCCAGCTAATCCGCACCACTGGTCCCATGAAATCAGGCGTCAGTAAAACTATCAGAGACAGCGCCGGTGCCCTGATTGTCAATAAGAAACGCCGTATGACTCGTTGGACGGAGCACTTTCCAGATCGGTTTTTCTGGCTCCCTGCTTCCGATCGTATTCCCACTCAGGTGGTACAGGATGACCCATGGATGATTAGTTTAGCGGATCCATCGTGGGCTCTGATCCGAAACGCGATCAAAGCCCTCAATCGTTTTCGTCCTGCTGGCTCGAATTCCCACCCACCTGCACTATTTAAGGATGGTGCTAAGGTCCTTTCCAAAACACTGACCTCCGTGTCCGAACATGTCTGGGAGGTATCATCCCGGCTAACTGGAGTGGATCAATTATAGTTGTAACATACAAAAGGGCAGTCGCACAGATTGTGCTAACCACAGGGGTATTAGCCCAACACCAGTTATGACAAAATTACTGGTATTGATTCTCTTTCGTCGCCTCACTGCAGAACGGAGATCTCGGATTAGGGCAGTGCAGACAGGTTTCTGCCCTGGACGTAGCTGTATAGACCACATATTTGGTTTGCGGCAGGTGCTAGCGCAGAGCCACGCAGACCGACAATAGCTGTGTTCCTCGATTTCAAGAGTACTCTCAATTCAGTGAATCGATGCATTCTGTTCGAAATACTTGTGTGGAAAAGTTGTTCCCATGAAATATGCACACCTTTTACGTGTTCTATACTCGAATACCACAGGTCGCGTCAAGGTCTATGGTGATCTGTCGGATATCTTTCCGACAACAAGTGGCGTTCATCAAAGTTGTTCGATTTCTCCATTGTTGTTTACTTTCGTCGTGAACTCCATCATGGAGTGTTCCCTTTCGGTGCCTCACGATGCTGTCGTTGAGGTCCTGTCTGGTGAAAAGCTAGTTGCTCTTGATTATGCGAACTATTTTGTCCTGCGTTTTAACGATGTTGTAGCAGCGCTATCAGCCCTGAATAATCTCCATGGTGGTCCCATCATTTAGCATACGCTTCACACCTTCGAACTGTCAGTCAATGACCCCTTGATCCTTGCTGGTGAATCATTCCAAGTAGTTGATCACTTCGCCTACTTCGGAAGCTTCCTCGGCACCAATGGGCGCACAGAAACTGATGTCACTTCACGCATTGCAAAAGATAGAGCTGCCTTTTTGAATCTGTGACATCCGTGGCGTCAGAAAGTGGTTTCCCTCCGTTTGAAAGGCCGTGTATACAAGTGCACAGTGAGGGCCGTCCTACTCTATGAGTGTTAGACTTGCCATCTCCCATCTGAGGACATGCGGCGTTTTCGAGTCTTTGAACATCGTTGTCTACGAAACATTACTGGTGTCGGATGGTAACAGCGTGTGCGCAATTATGATGTGCGTGAGAGAGTACAAGGTAGTGATTACCAGGCTACTTCCTTAGTAAACATATGGCATAGAATAATTCGCGTTGGATTGGGCACGTACTACGTTTATCTGGTCACCGCTTATCGAGGGGGGCCTTGTTTTGTTTACTAGATGTCGGGCGGCGCAAGCCCGGGGTGGGCAAAAATTAACTTGGCAGCAAGAAATGTAGTCACTGACGACCAAACTGGATGCTGTTGGTCTGCCTCGGCTTCCAGACAGGAGTCCACATGACCAGCGCCTTGTGCTTGGCTCGAGACGTTACAAGACATGGCTTGTAGTCGACACCAGTGGCGCGTCTGCTGTCGTGTCCTTGTTTGACTGCCTGTTTAAAGGGTCTTTGGTGCTGAGTTATCTGCGAGGTACTGGCATATTATGACGCATGGTAGTGAAAGCCACGAGGAAGCTGTCTCGCTGATACCGCCGTATTGTACCATAGCCAGCTGTTTATGACGGTATGTTGTTGTTGTTAAGGTGTAGGCGTTAAGATTTTCAGGTAAGTCCCCCTTCTCCTCTTATTATTCCTTGTTCTGTAGGTTGTTGTGGTTACATGGCGGCGTCACATCAGTTCGAATGGCTGATGTATTGCTTTCAATTATGATGATGATGCACCCCTTATATTGTGACCCAGTCACTGCAACAAATGCTTCCCTATCTTCTCTACCTGCAACGCCCTGAATTACACTCTGTCTACATCCGTAGCTTTTTCTCTTCGTCTACATTTCGTTATTGCCATGTGCCTAGGTAGTACGCAATGTCTTTACACAAAATATGCATTGCTCAACTTGCCGATATCAGCCTTATCCGAACCCTCGTATACTTCTCACTTTTGCCTCCTCTAGAAGCTACATTCCCTAACTTGGTTTGCCAGTGTTTTTCTATTTCCCGAGTAGCTTTTAAACACACCCCCGCAAAATCCATATCAGGATGAAACCGATCGATCATGGAGTGTAGTGTTGGGAGAGGGCAGCTCCGAAACTTTCCACTTCGGATGCGGTCCCAGTGATCGAAATGGCATAGGTTTGCTTCAAAGCAAACCATAGCCTCAATCGAAATTGTGTGTCGTAATCCATCCGCACGGTAGCTACTCCAAGATCCAATAATGTACTTCTAACTGCTGTGTCCAGCGCTGCTGTGGAGCTCTGGCCTAGTAACCAAGACGAAAGCCGTCAACCACTGTGTTGGGCTCCTCTCTCAGCTCAGCCTGTCTCTACCTAATGAGTCCGAATCTGTACGAAACCGGTCGGTCGTGGAATGCAATTTTGGGAGAGAGCAGCTCCGAAACAACACTTAACAACATTCCAGAACCGCAATGCGATAGTCGATTTCTCGACGTTCGTTTCCGTAGCTGACTGGCCTAAATGTTCGACATTTTCTTGCGCCTTTTGGACACTCTTTCGTTTGCCTTGCACCATTCATTCTGTTCGCCTATTTTGTGTTACTAAAAATTAAACTGGACTTTGGATCGGGGATTTTCACTGCTGTGACACGGACTTCTCGATAGTCAGAAAACTTTCCCAACTTCTCCAGTGTAGTAATGTTTACTTGTAGATTGTATTTATTCTTCCTGTACTTGGTCAACTGAACTGAACTAATTCTTCCTGCAGAAATTTGTTTGAAGAGAGATTCATTGTATTGCGTGGGCAGGATACTGTCAGGTTGCCCAGGCCTAGACAGGAGAATGATTAGGGTTCTCAACCAAAGCCTTTAGTTCAAAAACCTGACCGCAAGGCAGCGGGTTTGGCATTGGGTTATAAGGAGTCCGTTTTAAGGAAAAAGGAGCCACCCTCATTCCAACCCCCAACCTGGAGGACCAGGAGGCTGAGTTTGTTTGGCCTCTAACCATTGACCAATGTGGTATGAGTGGCTCTGAAGGTGCAAAAATGCACCACCCAGCATAGTTCAATGGATCACTGAGGCACACAAACCATCGCTCCACGGTAAGGTCCAGCCTCATTTGGTTGGACACACTTGCTGACATGGCAAGGAGCCGACCTCAGTGGCGTTCGTATTGTGAGTGTCTTTGTCCCACCCCATCCCTCTTAGCCTCTCCCTCCAACCATGATCTCACTATTTAGCCTTATATAATTTTGCATAGTAATTTTTTGATACACAGTAGCCTGCTGGTAGCTTATTGGAACGATGCCCATTCGTTACCGGTAGTTCAGCCGGCTTGCACCAGTTGCATTTTCTCTCTCCTTTTTTCTTCTATGTATTGCGGCACAGTAGCTGAGCTGTTTCCCACCTCTAGCTAACGTGTATGATGATGATAATGATGATATTTGCTGCACCTTCCCTTTTGCGAAAATCACTTCTTTTACCTACCTGTTTCATTTCAGCCGTTCCTCTACTGGTTTCCAACGTTGGCGATACGATTCCCGTGGAGTTATGTATCCTTTTCCGTATGTACCTCGTTAGTCCTCTTGCTCTAGACTCCCCTGTAGCCACCATACATCACCAAAGGTAGTACCCATTTTTATTACGCACATTTCTGTTTGTTCTGTTGCATTGTATTTCCCTGGTAGACTTTTCCTCGTTTGTAGTGCACCCACAACAATGAATGGGAATTAACCAGTGAAGCACTTTCCGCAGATACAAATGTTATAAGTAGAAATTCGTCACATATGTTCGGAGATGAACTTTTTTTCCTATATTCTTGATCTTACTGAGGATACATCTCAGAAGACGCTCTGTGGCTTTTAATGTCCAATTTGGGACCACTCGTCCCAATCCAGACGCCCAGTAGCTTAAGTGTATTCATGTCAACCTGTTTCAGCTGTTTCCACCTGGAGTGACTGAGCAGAGACCGAACGTGTGGTTTGTGAACCAAATCCTCCAACACCACTACCTCTACCAGAGACCTATCGTTTTTTGCCTACCTGGACATCCGTGCTGCATCCTATTCGGTTGATTGACCTACGCTATGGCGTTGCATGCTAAGGAACGGGGTCTTAGAAAACGATAATTCCATCTTACAGTGTACCTCCATCTCCTGCAGAGTGAGGATTTTTGCACGTTTTCTTCGTCTTTTGCTGTCAATAATGATGTACGACAGAGCCGTTCTTCTCCAAGTTGCGATTGAAGACGTCTTAACAAGAGTTCCGTAAGGTTACCAGCATTTTTACCTGCGGCTACTCCCGGGTGCGCGAACAAGTGACTGGCTTAGACCACACTGATGACATCCCTTTACTTGGTGACGACTCCCAGAGTATTCAAACCATCCTGAACGTTTTGACGAACGAGGTAGCTAGGCTTCACTCCTTTAAACTGTAAAGTGCTCCAGGACTAACTCACTTTCGAACGTGCGCGGCTTGAGCACGCGGATAGCCTCGTCTGCCTGGGCAGCTGCTAGTCTGTTGGAAGAAAGCTTGCTCGGTATAAGGTCCGGTTAACAATACCTCCTTCCGATCGGTGTTATGTATGGAAGCGAGTAGTGGCCAGTTCACCTAGATGACATCCATCTTCTGTCGGCCTTCGATACTAGGGGTTTGCAGAAGATTGCTCGTCTGTGGCGGCAACAATATATATGCAGCGATAAAGTCAAACCTCGTGTTTTAGGAGTTGCGAGTATTTCTTTCAACAAACTGACTTTACTGCACCAGTTAAGGTGGTTGGCGCACGTTTCGCATATGTCATCTGAACGTTTACCTCATCGAGCCCTGTTCGCCTTTGCAGCACTGCACGGGAAGAGACCACGTAATGGTCAGCCATGCACATGGCGTCGGCATATGTAATGGTTGACTTCACGCTTAACGACCGTTGTATCCACATGCCTTCTTGGTTTGGGACCCCGATGAAAAATGCCTATAGCTGGAAACCAGTGGAAAATTCATTTGCATTATTGTCTGGTATTAAAATGGTAAATACGCGATGATTGACAACACAAAAACACAGTGTAGATCAGAGTTACAAAGATATATTTTCGGTAACTTACATCAGCTAATTGAGGTTACAGGACTGATGAAGGCAACAATAGGTTAGTGAAAACAGAACTTAGAACGCTTTGAATTGGTTTAGTGCATTTGCTCGATACCCAAATCGATTTAATCAAGCGACGGACGTCGCAACAGGACTAACGGTCCTACGCAACAAAATAACTTGGGTTAACAGAAGTAAAATAGCAAATAATAGTAATAATAATAATAAAACTAACCTGGTCGTCCGTAACGCTCTAAGGGAACGGTTTCTTGTCAGGGCTATGGCAAAGTCAAGGGTTGCACAGGCACCCTGTACTTACGTTGTTCTGGCTGCATCAGCCTGAACGTAAACGCTGCAGCCGTTTGCAAGAGGCCTTTCCTCAGCCCTTTCAGGTATCGCTTCGGTGTCGTTTAGTAAACCTTGCATATTTGAGCAGAATTTAGTGCCCACTTTGAAATTAATGTTCCAGGATGGAACTGTTGATGCTTCTGACCGTGCTTCTCCGCATTGGCCGTGAGAAGTGGTCAGACATCCATACTAACAGACGACTGATCGTATGTTCGATGTACTTAGCACCACAGGTGAAAGCAAACTAACATACAACGTATGTTTCGGACTTTGGGCTATAAAGGATGTGGTCTCTGCAAGAACATGCTGATGCGCGACCGCGTAGATTCTAGCTACGGCGGTGGGAAGTCGAAGACAAAAATTGAAGAGTGGCGTGTAAAAAGACACGGGAACGTTTTCCCATATCAGCTGTGTCGGTCATCTTCCGTTAATTTCCATATATATATATATATATATATATATACATATATATATATATATATCAGCTGAGGCGGATGTTGCATTCATGATGCTTCTTCGCCGCAGTTGGACTAAATCAGCGTGCACTTAAACTAGGTCTTATAAACTGGATAATTTTCATTCTACTTCATTTGGTTTGCTCCGCCTACTGAATAATCTACTCTTAAGTTGCACGCGTTGCTTACGCTACTTGCGCCTATCTTCGTTAACTTGATTACGTTTGTAGCCTTTTTTACGCAACTTATGGACATTTTGCACTAATCGCGGATTCGTTGCTAACCAACTTACTTCATATGCTAATTTAGCGAAGAGTCATGTCTGCATAGCCGTATGCTTTAGCAGGTATACGTTATTTGATATTATTTCAAGGGATTGACTGTTGCTTGATATCCTCGGTGTGGCTGCGCTTGATGTGCATGTTGACAAGGTGCCTACCTGTCTATTACCCACTACCTCCTCCATACTGGCTCCAGGAGACAGTTGATCGTTGCTGGAGGGGACGGGGTGCAAGTCCTTCTTGTCGTGCTAGGCTCAAAGAGTCGTTAGATGCAGGCAGTGTGGAGCGGACTACGGTTCAGCCACCGCCTTGTATGAGCATGATTCCCCAAATACAGCGTGCTTGTGTTTGTCTGTGAAGGAGTGTGGGCCGGCTCCGTTGATGAAACGTGGTTCTCATCCGCATGCCTCCCGGTCGTATTCCTCTGGGTTTTTCACTAGATATGGGGTATGTGGATGGTGCAGCGCAAGCCATCCATGGTCCCTCTGTAGGCGCAGGCGTCCTGCGGCTGGCCACAGTGACAGGCAAATCCGGAACCGGATGCTATCGACTATGTATATACATATATATATATATATATGTAGATTACAAGACTGGAACCCCAATGCTGATGCATCGCTTGCATGTTGAATCATGGGGGCGCTTCTGCTCCCTTTGTACTTCTTAATGTTTGCTCCTTATCAATGTATTCTTTGATTCCCTCAACCCTATTCCCTTTCCGCATACCACCAAGTGGCATATCTAAGGGCTGCGACGTTGTTATTAATTTTCACAATGCCATCATTGCATCATCTGTACCGTCTCGTAGTCTTCATTTTTCCCTCCAGCGTCTGTCACAGTTCGCGGTTTTTCACATTTGGGAATTATTCTCGATGTCTCCTAGGTCTTTTCTAGCGGCTTTCTACTCGTTTCCCATCATATATGGTGCTCCAAACTAATCGGTAATTGGCCGAACTGTTGTCTAATTGTTTAACAATGCTGGCCGTCGTTGTTCGGCTGAAGCACGAGTTAGTTAACTTTACGGCAAGCATGCATTTTATTTACCGCATGAACTAAGTCTTTCGCTATCAAGTTACGCTATCGCACGCACACTACATCCTTCGGAGCATATTTACCGTACGACTTTCTCGTCATGTGTGCTTAATGTTTCCATCAGCGTACTTGTCACTTTAACGAGCATTATAGATTCCGCCGATTGGGTTACGAATTTACCTAACGTCGTCATTGATGGCCGTTTGGGTAAGTCTTTTACTGCGGTAATTTCCCATTTCGCCCTATTAGACGAATACTGGACCAAAAGTGTCACTTACGTATGTGTCCTTTATCACTCCAACATGTCGCATACAATTTACCGTTAGTTTATAGGACGAATGTTTATCCCCAACACGATAGTCCATTCGTCTGCTGTTTGGAGGACTAGCTCTTGACAAGTCGTTTTTGGGATCTTTCTTTGATCGTTTCCCAGCTGTTCTGTCAAATTTGTGCTGAACATTTTCACTGGTGTATCAGAATGACGTTTTCGCAGTTTCTGTTAATATTGATCGCCTGCCAGCACCCACTGCGGCGGTTAAAGTTGCATATGTAATGCTTCGCTTCTGTATACTTTCTAGCACACGCGTTCTGCGTGTGCTACTCACCTATCATATAATGTTTCTTGACTGTCAGTAATTTATTATTTAACCTTTCACTTTTGGGCATGCGCCATTCACAATGCTCCTAACCCCTCCGCGGGTTTGTGGTTTACTCCAATCGGATGCAAGATTTCCAGTACCTGATCGCTCTTCCTTGATTAGCATAGCCCGATGCACTTGATTAAACACATAACGAGTTAGTTAGGCCATTCGGATCGAGGGCACTTGCGCCAACAATAATCCTGCCTTCATTTTAGTGATTTGAAACAGCAAATTCCCTATTTTAATTCCAAACGGAAAATTCAGAAGACGTTAACTGTGTGATGGCTCAGTCGTTTTGTGCAGGCTCCTCCACCACAAATCATTCAAAACGCAGTCACATGAGTTCCCTAGCTAGCAATCGTGTCGCTTCACGCTACCGCAGTCAGCTGTTTCTGCACACACGCACTCACAGCAGCGGCCGCTCTCGAGCTATAGCAACGGATTCCAATCGCTTGAGAATTAGGGGCTGCCGATTGTGCATCAGGACGGTGAATGACTCATCGGGATTGACTGGGTGACCGGTGCTCAGCAAGTGCCTTATGATTGCCGAGGCAGCTCCATTTCTCGATTCACCTGATCCCGCCGTCACCAATCCCATCCGGCTGCCTACCCATTGATACTGACGCCTAAATTGCAGTCAGTGCGCCTGACGTAGCTGTCTTCTCAGCTACATCTATCGTTGTTTTGATAGAACACATAAGCAGAGATCTTGTTCATGTGTGCAACCGTTGTTCAGCTGCATTGTAAGCCCTTTCCAATGAAGCACTAATACATCTCGCGGTGATTTTCATGCTTTGATCACCTTCGAATGGTATTTCGATAAAAATCGGTTTCTTTTGAATAGTTCGTACACGATCTCACTTGGTTATGTCGCTAAGACGCTTTACATACTGCATTGGATAACGGTTCCATTATAGTGATTGACAAGGTTGCAGGAAATGAATGAGTCATCTTACGGTTTACGTCTTCTGATTTTTCTGTTTGGAATACTCCTGCCACTCATTGCATCCGTGCCCCCCATGGCAAAATCACACCATCGGTATGCACACTCAGGCTAGGGCTGAGTGGAACTCGCGTTCACCACGCCTCCCTAGCTATTGGTTACGCAATCTGACAATATGCAGCTCTGTCATCTGTCCACAACCTCGTTCTTCCGGAGTTTCGAGGCCTCACAATTACATATGATGGAGACTTTCACTCGAACACTGTCATTCCATCACACAGCTATCTCTTCGGAACAAATTCAAATGCTCCTTCAGATCCAGCAGTCACTGTTTGAGAAAGCACGGCGGCAATCGACAGAGATGCTGACACAGAACTTGAACATACAAGCAGATTGTGAACTGGAACCAGAACTTACATCAGTGCATGTTACAGCTGAATGTTACAAGCAGCTCAACTCGGGAGTAGACACCAGAAAGGTTGAAAATTCAAATACCAGTTGTGAAATCTAGATCCGCCACACACAGCTAATGCAGGGCAGGATGTGAACCCAAACCTGCCGAAGCAAAAGCCCCCCTCCCCCACTGTGATTATTATCTCGCATTCCGCAGGGATCAAAGCGCACCAAGTGGCCCGTTGTCGCTAAACAGAGAAATTGCCTGCGAACCGAAATCCAAGGGTCTGCAACTCCGTGCAGCTATTCAGATACACAAATCAGCGGCCCCCAAAACCGTGGCCCCCAAAACAGTGGCCATTGAACCCTGCGAGAGAGGTATAGAGCGGTTTTTCTGAAATACATTGCAACACCAATGGTTGACTAGGAGCTTTATCGCTTAAAGAGCAGTTCTCCACCCGGTGAACCACTCACTTTGGCACCCAGGAGGGACCTAATGTGCTTTGACCAGTGACCACAAGAAAGAACGGTGATGCACTGATCGGGTGTGGAGACACGTCAACAAAATGCGCCTGGACCCATGACGGAAGTCACGCGTCATTTTGCGCGAGGGTGGTGTTACGTAGAGTCAGTGTTCAGGTCGAGAGCAGTAGTGCAACAGTGGATCGATCTACAATTAGAGATGGAACGCGAATGAAGATCAAAATGCGAATCTATGAGGAATCAACGGCAAGTCAGACCATGGACTTGAACCGTTTGATTTGTGTTAGTTAATATTGATTAGCATCTCCAATTTTGTTGTGTTAGTGATTTCCTACAACCTCTGTATTGCGCAGTACTCTCATACAATAGAATACCAATCCGAATCCCTCGGTGCGGCTGCTCTTGGCGTTCTCACTTCTTGGTGGGTTGAACTGGTTGGGGACGGCCCAACAGATTCTGGCCGGTTATCCGTACTGTCAGCCGGAATCACAACACATTTCTGGCGACGGTCAGCTGCGCCGTAGCAGTAGATTAGACGTACCTTCAGCAGCTCCACAATAGTACGCATTTTGGCTAACTGTGTGTGACCACATTGGCAGGCCAATGCAGAAGAGTATGTCATTTTCTATACGGTAGGCAGAACTGATCGCTTCATATTTTTGTTGCAGTGTTATCTTAATTCATTTGGCCCTGTTATAGATTGAGGGGTCGCCACTGAGATAATTGAGGGAACGCCACCTCTCGATATGGATTGCGTAATTGCCTGATAAGATTGTCGCTGGCCCGGTTGGAGCACGCCTACGATGACGACTTGTAACGCTGGCCAATCGAACGGAGTTGCGCTGACCTGATGACGCTAGCTTAGCCGGTGAGACGGAAAATTGAGCGAGCGTGTGACCGATCCTAGCCGCAAGTGTTCGGACAGACGCTGACCCCTCGGAACGGATGCACACGAGAGGGGGGTACGATAGACGCGCGCTAATGGCTTAGACGCGAAGGATGGCCAGCTAATGACTCACACGCAGTTACGTGACCCGACCGACTCCCAACTGAGGCGAAGAGAAAGAAAAGGCAAGTGGTCCTCTGTAGGCTCTTTTACGACCGACAAAGGGCGATCACAGACAGTGCTATGGGTTATTAAGTTAAGGAAAATTGTCACCACGAAGAGGGGGTAGTTTGTAAATGACCGTTGTCAGAGGGTGCGCAGTTTAGGCCGCGTCTCGGAGTGGCTGAGCTCTGCTGCGTTGTGGTGAGGAATTGTACCTTGCTTCCCACAGCCATTCTGTAGGAGTTTCTGGTGCGTTTTTGCGGGGATTTTTGACGGACCCGCAACAGGCCCAAATCTAATCCAGTACACTTTCTCTGGGTGTCCGTTGTGTTTTCGTACCTTGAATGGCACATTAACTGTCCATCCACCCACTTTTCATCTACTCGCTTGGCCAACTACGCTTCATTTTTGTGTTTTAGGTTGTTTGTGGACCCTGCAAGTCGACATCGATGTGCTTTGGAGGCTAATCGAGAAACGAGTTGGTGAAAGTTTGCACTTGTTTCTTCTCCGTGTACCGACTTTTCTGTTCATGTCTTGCGCTCCACCTTAGTTCTTTTACTCCGTCTTGCTTACCTTGCTCTTTGTGTGATTCCCCTTACTATCTATCATCTGTCTCATAGGAGCCTCTGCATTGTCGCAGTCTGTCTCTGTTACTCTTTGACTTTAGTTTCGGGCATTTATTTAGTTAGGGATGCTGTTTTGTGTCTCAAGCAAACCACTCAAGGAATGGCTTAAATCTTACGGGATTACCGACTTTGTCATAGGTGTATTGTGCGCAGAATTTAAGCAATTTTGCTTACTGACATGTATACTTTACTTGGGTTCCCAGTTGTTCCACTCTCAATTTCTGGTTCTTTTTAAACATATGAGCACTTAGGATACCCTGTTTTGCGTGGTTGATTGTGACTCGTTGAAACAACGGGCAACCTACCTAGCTATAACATTGTCTTATCATCACTCGATAGCCGTCTGTTTGGAACTCCATAGGGCTGGCGGTCGGAGTCCATGCGGAGAAACTTCACAGGGCGTTCATCCCATTCACCACCAGTGGATGCGTCCACCATCGTCACCGAGTCGCAAACAGCCACTTTAAAGCATGCCTGCTATAATGGAGAGTAGGTCAGCAGATTAGGCGAGCCGCATGGCACGATAGGGACCCACCGATGTATACACACTACAACATGTGCCTTGGTCAGTACTTTTCATCGCGGCCCAGACTTGGAGGGTGGCTACACGACATCAGTCGCTGGGTTGAGGTCACTTTTAACTGTGCACCGAAATCCGTAACCAAGGTGTCTTGCCTTATCTTCACACAATGGCCAGCTATTTGTGATCGTTTATATTACTCATGATATGGTTGGCGGCATCCGGTTCCGGATTTGCCTGTCACTGTGGCCAGCCACAGGACGCCTGCGCCTACAGAGGGACCATGGGTGGCTTGCGCTGCACCACCCACAGTTCCATCCACACACCCCATATCTAGTGCACACCCGATGTAATAAGACCGGGAGGCATGTGAACGGGAGCCACCTTTCATCAACAAAGCCGGCCCACACTCCTTCATACGAAAATACAATCATGCTGTATTTGGGAATTAATCGCATACAAGGGGGTGGCTGGACTGTAGTCCACTCCACACTGAGTGCATGGAACCACTCTTTGATCCTAACACGCCCACACGGACCGTACACCCCGTCAACTCCAGCAACGACCGAATGTCTCCTGGAGCCAGTATGGACGAGGTAGTGGGTAGTAGACAGGTAGGCACCTTGTCAACATGCACATCAAGCGCACCACACCGAGGATATCAAGCAACATCCAATCACTTGCAACGACAAGATAAAATAAAATAAATAGGATAATGCATACAGATACGGAGACGTAACTCTTCAATAAATGGGGGTATAAACAAATTGAGTACGAACGAATTCGCAAAAGTTCAAGTGGTCAGAAAATATATTGTACGCAAATGCCAAAAACGCGAAAATATTATCGAAATTAACTACAATTAGCTTCGGTGACGTGTGCAAGTTTATGGAAGATAGTTAAGTTAGACTGTATAAGAAAAAGAAAACATTAGGACAAAATCGCAAACCCACAACCTGAAATAAAGAAACATCATGGAAGCACGCGGTTAGTAAATCGAATGCAACGTATTTCCAAACGCTGCACCAATTTTGCCTACGTTCTCTGCATGACCCGTCGTCGCTTCGGTGGTAGTCCCGAATGGCCTCGCTCATGACTCACTAGGCCTGCCTGACTCAAGCACTCGCGACCGCATGTGCTACAACACCATGCGCTCGATGTCGATGGAGTACAACTCATCGGTGCTTGCCGCTCCTTCTCTTCATGCATAAGGTCTTTCTCTCGCACCACGGCAACTGCCTTCATGATCAGATCACGCCATGCACGCCGATCAATCGCCTTTGATTCCCATGACCTGCAATCAAGATTAGAACGTGAGATGCTCACTTTAATCATGTCCTGGTAACGTAACCTTGGTTTCCCTACATGCCGCTTCCCAATACTCAACTTACCATGTATCCGGTATCCGCGTCGAATCCATACGGCTCACATGATTGAGACGCCTCACTTGTCTCAGCAAGAATATGCAATCCACTGCATACATTCCACTTTGGCCCAACACTTCCGTATTCAGAAGTAAGCGAGTGCGCGAAGAATATTCTTTTCGATAATTCTCATCAGGCGAGTACAATTATGAAGCAAAACGTTTGGAGAGAATAAAGCCCGTAGAGGCCTGTACAGAGAGCAATCAACTAATTAACTAGGCAATATGAAAACTAAATCAATGGTTTGATCAATCGGATTGTCGCATTAGGAAGCAGGTGATCAAGGAAGGTCAAGTTAGGAAGCAGGTGATCAAGGAAGGTCAAGGCCAAGGCAATTTCAGAGCCTGTAGCAGTGTGCGCTGTTTGCACAGCTCTGGTTTTAGAACTTTGATAGCAATAGCTTCAGAAATGCTCAATAAAAGTTTCTTCAGCTGTTTTGGGTATCGTTTAGGGATGGTATAAACGACTCGAAACGACTGGTTTATCTGGACTTGGTGTCCAGTGTCGACCAAGTGTTGTAATACCGAACTGTTGATGGATTTTACCGTGCCATTTCGTAGTGACGCAGGACAATGCTCAGCGATTCTTTTGGACAAACACCTGGTCGTATGTCCAAGATACCTAGCACCACAGGTGCAGGTGAACTGGTATAAGACAAACGATTCGGACCGAACAGGGAGTTTATCCTTTAAGCGCTGAAGGATCAATGGTCTTGTTTCGGCAAGTAGTTTTAGGTTGGCCGTTGGAAATGTCTTGGTCACTGCGGTCGAGATTTTTCTATTCAACAGTTCCGTATTCGCAACTCTGTCGCACTAACCGATGTGCAGAATCCGTCGCAAACACTGTTGTTGAAACCGCTCGAGATATCGCACATCCCGACGGTACATGGTAAACGTTTCACTACCGTATAGAAGAACGGACAGCACCATGGATTTGTACACCATTAGCTTCGTGCCAGTGCTAAGCTGATGGTTGTTCCACACTCGATACTCAAGCTTCCCGAATGCCGCCGCTGCCTTCGAGACGCGGATACGCAGCTCACTCTGTCGCTGCTGATCAGTCAACATCACTCTCCCAAAGTAGCAGAAGCGGGTGGTGGTTTCCGATCCGTCATTACCAATAGCGATTTGCGGCAATATTGTAGATTGCACCTCCGGTGATGGCTGAAAGAGACAGACAGTTTTGCTTGTGTTGGTGTGCCCGAATTTGGCCGCTGTCGAAGCCAGAGCACTAGTCATGTGCTGCAACTCATCCGCGCTGTGTGAAAACAACGCACAGTCGTCAGCAAACAGCAACATACGGATAGTTGTCTCACAGACTAGAGTTCGCGCACCGAAACGACGGATGTTCAACAACCCACCATCAATACGATGCTCCACACGAACACCGTAAGCACAAGCGGCATCATAAGCACAAGACAACATTGCATGAAGATAAATATTAAACGGGGCAGGAGCTACGACACAACCTTGCTTCACACCAGACCTAACTGGAAAGTCATCCGAGGTCTGTCCACTCAGCTGCACCCTCACCCGCATACCCCTGTGCAGACATTCAATTTAACTTACAAACTTACTCGGGCAACCAAACTTACCCAACACCAGCCCCAATGCCTCGCGGTTCACCGTATCAAATGACTTGGTGAAATCAACGAAAAGCGAGTACAACGGCTGGTGCAGTTATCTACACTTCGCCTGCAACTGACGAGCCGCAAACACCATATTTCTAGTGCTGCGACTCGTACGGAATCCACCTTGCTCTTCCGCCACGTTAGGTTCCACAACCTGACTGACGAGGCGGTTGAGCAGGATTCGTGCAATCACCTTGCCCACACAACTCAGCAAGTTGATGCCACGATAATTCGTGCAACATTGCTTGCTACCTTTGCTCTTGTACAGTGGTAGCACAAGGGCATCCTTCAGCTCAAGAGGCACCTCCTCCTCAATCCATACGCGTTGCACCAAGTGGTGCAGCGCAGTCAACAACGCGGGTCCACCGTATTTCAATACTTCACGTGGGATCCCGTCGTCCCAAACCCACTTGCCTTTTCGCAACTGAGCAAGTGCTCTCTGAGCCTCATCCAGTGTCCGCGTGTCCGCCAGACTCGTCTTCACATCGTGCTGCTTCAGGCCGTACAAGGAACGCAAGTTGATCTCTGAACGGTTATTCAAAAGACCGTCAAACTGTTTTTGCCCCATCGACATTATGTCTGCAGTCTGTGTGCAGGTTTCGCCCGAACTACCATCCACTAGCGTCCTCAGCAGCTCCAATCTCGGTCCATACACCGCATTCAAGGCGTCAAAGAATTCTTTGTGTTGGCGGCCTTTGGCGTAGCATTCCATCTGCTTCGCCTTCTCAGTCCACCATACATTTTTAATGCGACAGAGCTCTCAGGTCAGTCGCCGTGGTAGTTTGCGAAATTGACTGTTTTTCCCCAGGTCACTGGGGTCTGCCACATGTGCAGCAAATGCTGCATTCTTCTCCGACACCAACTGGAAAATCGTCGCGTTTTTCTCATCAAACTAATCAAGTCACTTAAAGTTTTCGCGCCATATGGTCTCCTCGGCAGCAGCTGTCATCTAGTCGCGAATGTGGTGCCACAGGTCGCCCACTGTGGCTATGCACTCCACATCACACAGGCGTGCAGACATCGCCTTCTCCAGCTCAGTACGTTTCGCCACATTACCGAGGGAGAGAATGTTAAATTTACACCGATTCACGGCGGAAGTGCAACACAGATTTCGGAAAATATATGTACGGTTTGGTCCGCACTAACTTGTGATCAGCTCCACGCAGTACACCTGTCATGCGCACTACACACATATCACACTGACGTATGATGAGATAGTCGAGCAGGTGAGCGTGACCACTCCGTGGATGCGTCCAAGTTGCTATATCACACGCACTCAGTGCACACTGAGTGTTCGTGATCGTCAGGCCGTGAGTGGCACACAGTGAGAGCAGCCTGTTACCGTTCGCATTCGCTGGACCAATGCTACGCGGACCGATTACATCTGTCCACAAAGATGCATCACGCCCGTTGAAATCACCCAAAAGAAATAGTCGGTCGATCTTCGTCACAGACCGGATCAGGGAGGATAACAGTGTAAAATTGATCCCGCGTGTCATCATGATAACACATGGTGGCAAAGTTATCTCTTCCGAGTCGTAGACGAGCAATCATCAGTCGCGCGCTGATGCCTGTTGGTTCACTCACGAGCTGGCCATGGAGGCGATCGGATATTGCAAATCCGACCCCATGTTCCCGTGGTGCTGAGGCGGTGTTGCCCACCCAGTAGAATGTGTAGCCAACACCTGCTTCATGCAACTTACCTTACTCAGCGAGCCGAGTTTCACTGAGCGCCGCAATATCGATGTGGTAACGCGCCAGCTCCATCGCGACCAGTGCAGTGCGTCGCTCCGGGCGCTCGCTCGAGTTCCGGTCCAGTAGTGTGCGCATGTTCCAGCACCCGATGCTGAGTGCATTGCGCGCAGGCATACGATTGCATTGGTGGGCAATCGCACGCGAGGTGGTCGTTGTGCTTCGAAGGTTTGCATGAGGGACTCCGCCCGGAGCCTTTGGCTCAATTGCCTTACACACAAGGCAGTGAGGAGCAGATCCAGCTCGGGAATGTGATTGCGGAGACAGATTGGGATCTACTTGACGGCCGTCATATGCAGCATTTGAGGTACTGGAAGGATTCTTATGTTTTGCGACCGCGGTAGGATACACACCTGCGACGACGGCCAGATGCAGGTGGGTTTTGGTGGGTTTGCACCAATTCGACCAGGGGCTGCCTGGCTTGAGGCGGGCAGTAGCAAAACATTGAACACCCGGAGGTACCCTCCCACCGTCAGAGACAATGCGTGGCGTTCGTGCTCTACGCCAATCGAGCTGTGAGCTTATAACCCGTAGACCTGTTGTCTCCCATGACTAGGTTTTACGGGAAGAGGGCCACTGGCCACTTTCTAACCTCTGAAGAGGACGGACTAGGATACTGGCAGGGCAGGTGACAGGCGAACAACTAGGGTCGTCAGCCAAAGCGTTTGATTCAATGTACACCCGAAAGGCAGCGAGTCTGGCACATGGTCAGTTCACTGACTCATGCGGATTGGTGTCCTGGATCTTAGCAGTGAGGTGGGCTTAATCCAACTCCCACCCAGCGGTCGCCACGAGGAGGCGTCCAGGACATGAGCGGATCGCACAACGGTAGCAGCAGTGAGTAGACCATCTGTCAGGATCTAGCCACCACCAGCCAACTCAATATATATATATATATATATATATATATATATATATATATATAGTTGCAACAGCCTATGAATATTCATAGAGCCATCAAAAACCATGGAGCACAAAAGAATGTACTGAAATTGTAAAAGAAAATCACAACACATTAAAGTCCATGCTTTCGTCAGAGGGCAAGATACTACCCGGTTGCCCAAGCCGAAGTAGGCTGTTGACTTTGGGGACACCACTCCGAGCCTTTGGTCGTATGGCCTGCCCCCAAGGCAGCGGTGCGAATTCAGAGAATCGCGCTCATTCGGAGTCGGTGATTGATTGTCCAGTTCATACTCCTATCCTACTTTCGTTTGCTAAACAGGGACCCAATGCTCCCCATGATTTCAGCATTAACTTGCTGGAATACAATGCTTCGCCAGGATGAAACAAGGGGCAGTGACTTTATTTAGTGGCGAGTCACATCCGCCACATCACAGCGTTGTTAAACGGACATATGTGGCTTTTTCTAGGGGGATCGCTTGCCAGGCGAAAACCCACCACGTCCTGGAACACTGCTACCGAACGATTTGCTGGAACGGGATAATTCCGAACCACCCAGCTGGCACCACGAGGAGGTCGTTCGGCAAGCCAGCCATTACGTCCACCTTTGTCCGTCTTCGTATTCTTGATCATTAGGGCCATCATCCCCATGTCGGATTTTCGGTGGATCTCGTCAGGCTGGTACACTACAACTAATACGAATGAAATGAGTTAAAACATCAGACGGGCGTAAACTTCAAAGGGTGGCATTAAAAGGTCTAGGTCATCTAACTGATGAGGTCAAGTGCTTGAGAGAAACGGCTATCCCCAGAAGTTTGTTCGGAGAAATATGGAGTGCCGAGAATCGAGGGCTAAAGCCGTTTGGGTTGAAAAGAAATTGGTTTATCTGTCGTTGCCGTTCAGAGGGGATGGAATAGCGCAGGCAACGTATAGAAGACTATCCGACTCCATAAACCGTAGGTACTACGCGACAAGCTTACGGCTAATATTTACTTCAACACCAATCTTAAGACTTCAACTCAAGGACAGACTTCCTCAGTCAAGTACTCCTTTATGTGTATACTCCTTTACTTGTTCATATCGAGCAAGTTATATCGAATGAATAACCAGGAGGCTGTCTGAGAGAATCCGTGAGCATTGCCCGAGTTGGCTGTGTGCATGTGGAGCTAAGATTATGTCAAGCGCCGTGTTGGCACATCATTGATTTTAACCACCAGATCGATAGGCATCAAAGAGCGGTAAGATGTCGCCTATTAGCAACAGCCGAAGCGATCGTCATCCGTCTCCAGAACCCAGACCTATGTGCACAAAAACAATTCGTTCAGATTCTCTCTCTTCCCTGGCCCCATACTACAGTAACCCCTGCTGAGAAACATGCAATTGACATGTCATTGACCGTTTGTGAACCAAGCACTTGACCTTGTCATTTAGATGACATAGACCTTTGAACTTTACTCCCGCCTGATGTTTTAACTCATTTTATTCGTATTAGTTGTGGGGTACCAGCCTGACGAGATCCACCGAAAACAAGGTTGTTCGCTGACTCTTGTTCTGATGTCTACACCTGGGATATTTGCTCGTACTTTGCCGTCTCCGATTGAATTACTCCGCGACGAGCTCCCGGCAAAACTACCTCATTGGGTTCACCCGTCCATTGTCACCGATATACCGCGGTATCTGGTCATGTGCTGAGGCAACCAGTCTTGTGTTGACTTACTGGATTGCACAGTCTGTCATTCCATTTAGGGAGCTGCACAAACGGTTTGATCAACTTAAGCGAGCTTCCTTTGCCACCTCGCGTTGTCTTTCGCCTACAACTCGAGCCATCACGGAAAGGGCAAACAACGTGGAACATGCCGATGATGCCCCATGATTTTTTGATTGGGACAACCGAATCCACTATCGGGTTATGCCAATTCCTGCACCCGCGTAGTTGCTTAGATGGATTGCATCCTAACGTCAAGCAACAAATACTTTATCCTAAAGAGTATCCGGCCTTTCGCCGGGACCCGCTCTAAATTATCTGCATCCAACACCTCATAGCCGCACTTCAAGTCTGTTTGTTACCCTCTTCACGCAGCCACAGCCAGCTACTCATTTACTTTACAAATGTTTCCATGACTTCATGAACATTGCTTCCTTATATCATTGATCTTGCTTGATTCATCTCATGAGTGGCCGGCTATTCTCTTCATCTCATATCTACTAATGGCGCTGCTATCAATTACTTTGTTTCAGTGCTACATTTCAACTTCCCATTGCGTTGCTGCTTGTGATGTATAATTGTTCCCCGAGCCTTGTAATTTGCTTGCACACGTTTAATCACCTATCCTTGCTTGTGGCATCTTTAGTGCGTTTTAGTTGTATTGGCTTTGCTACAAAGCAAGGAACTTCGAAAATATCTGGTGGTGGATGTCACTGGTCATTTGGCTGTCCCTTATACCTCGGACGTTATTAATCCTAGTTCAACCCCACTGGTTGTCATTCGCTGTACTCGGGACTACTTGGGTGGTTACCATTAGCCACAACAAACTGTTGCAACGTGAGATTGTCCCCCACAATCGTATTGATGCGAAGTCATTTTAGTCGCGAATGCACTTGCAGCAGCCGATTTGACATTCACTGATTTTTCAAGAGATGATTTCCTATTCATCTGATTTTCTTTCTTCTCAGTTGTTCGTACACATGGTTTGTCATCAAATTGCCACACTTGATAAGCAAGTCACATCTCCATACCGAACACAAGCAACCAGTCTTTCGGCTTATTGCAACGTATTGCTGCTTCCTGGACACCAATTAAAGTTCTATCTCACATCATAATCCACTCTGTACACCACCGTTACATCAGTCGGTTTGAGTGTGCACTCTGCTTTGACTGGTTTACCGTCTTGTCTTCACTTGCACATCACGAAACCATCTTTCTCTTCATTTTCATAGATGGACGTTGTTGATCTTTTGCTAAGTCGAGCTAATGGAAAGCAGTGTATACTAGAATATTGCCGCGAATTGGCACTTGAATCGATTGAGGATGCCGCACGCTACGATTCAGTCCCTAGTAATGACTACACCTTCTGCGGTACTGGTTTGGCGGCTCGTTTGGACGATTTTGCCTACGTCTTCAAGCGACTCGCAGAAGTATCCCGTCGGTCTCAAAGAACAGGGTCTTACGCCTGCGCCGTTCCCTCTGAGGAAACAAATGATGAATCCGTCCCACCAGTCTCTGTCCCGAAGCAAGTAAGTCCTTCCAATTCCCCGGTGTCGTGATTTTTCGGGACTACACTACTCCTTTCAATGTCTATTCCTTCTTGATCAACCTGTTGATGCACATCACTCAATGGATACTGTTATCACTCTTCATTTGTTCCTGACCCGAACAATCAGACCCGTCGCCTACTACTACTTGAGTCTCAGTCTACTCGAACGTTACCGCTTAATGTGATCATTTCACCTAGTCTACCTTGAGATCTAATCATCTAAACTAGAATAAGTTTACGGGCCTTCCGTTTTGAGCACCATAACGAAAGCGATCTTCTGTGTAAACTAATCAAGATATCAGTCTTCGTTGTGGTAAAGCTGGTGTTTCACTTCCCTATGGATTCTTCGCTGATCGCCTCAGGTTTACAGACGCAGTGCTAAGGAAAAAACCCTGATTAGGCTCTTCCTCTTATTGGGATTCAACAGTTGGGTACACTCCTTCGAAACTTCCTAACTCGAATTTACAACTGCTCAACTTGTGCTCAAATGTTTGTGACACTCAGAGACGAATGATAGCTACGCACTATATTGTCTTCTGTACTTCAATGACGCTTGTACCAGTTAGTGTTGGATCTTAGACGCTATAACTAACTCGCTGAACCGCTTACTATCCCATAATGTGGTTGTGCCTTGATATTAACGTGGAGTAGACATGTGGTCAATGTTGCCACGACCAGGGCTGTAGCCAGTCTGCCTTTCAATGACTATGCTCTTACGAAGATCCGTCAAAGAACGATATCTCTAATGAATTTTGAGGAGATGGAAAGAATGTCAACACCTTGACGATTTACACAGAAAGTCCACTGACCATTTTTGAAGATGGGAATGCCAGTTTCCAATTTGAAGGCACTACTTCAATATGCCGAATAGTGTTGAACAGAGGAACAATTCCAGCCATCAAAGTGTCATTTTCATCTTTCAGAAAAGATAGATGAAGGTCGTTTGGCCCAGAAGCCTCGTTTCATTTCAACACGGCTAGCGCATGTCAATTCCAAATTTCGGGCGGTGTAACATCAACTTCCCATGTTGATTCAGGTGATTCAGAAAACGACAGTATCGCAGGAGGCCCGCCGAACTGCTCTTCAAAAATTTCCGCCCAACACTTCTAATGCTTTCAGTAACCCGGATGTCTAATTTTTAAGCTCTTGGCCGTCTACTTTCTCCACTATCAATTACACTATTGCCCTTACGCGGCCGATGAAATCTATTATGCATTCATTCTCTCGTTGGTTATATCGTCATTAAGCATTTCGACGCATGTGTTGATTCCTTCAAGATTCTGAATGTCCATTTTCGCCAACTACATTATACTCTTCCACACAATCCAAACGCCAAGTTTTTTACTTCATCCATGAAGTGTTGTCATCTTTCGCTTGGGGAGCACACTTACGTACGCTCAGTACTTTTTGTTACCTATTCTTGGGTGATGCTACGTCTGGACATATTAAGCGTAAACGCTGAATACGCATCCGTTCAGGTTTGTGAAGTCCATTTTACCTTGATCTCACCACTTCTCCGTTTTCTCCGCAGTCTTCAGTCCCCGATGAGGAGCCATCCATCCTTTCAAAACCTCACCGACCTTTCACAGTTCAGCAAAGTGAGGTGTATACCAATGTGTTCCTAGTGGCTCAGGGCATCGAGGTAATCCTTCCACAAACTCAATTTGTGTCCCAGTTTTTTTCACCACCCACCTGTCAACATTCACCTGATTCCTGACTGTTTTTGGCAGCCATATATATATATATATACACTTAAACTAGGTGGATAAAATTCATTACATTTTCTTGTTCTGCGTACTTGATAATCTTCTCCCAACTTAAACACGTCGCTCATGCAAATTATGGTAAACTTGCGTAATTTTATCGCGTGGTATTTTTTTAAAATAACTTTCGGACATTTTGTACTTATCGCGTATTCACATTTAACCAATTTCTTCCATATGCTCATTTGGCGAGTATTTATGTCGTCATATGCGTTTACTTTATTCGATATCGGCATTTCGAATGATTGGCTGTTGTTTGACATCCCAGGTGTGCTGCGCTTGATGTGCATGTTGACAAAGTGCCTACCTGTCTATTACCCACTATCTCGTTCATACTGGCTCCAGGAGACAGTTTGTCGTTGCTGGAGGGGATGGGCCGCACGGTCCTTGTGGCCGTCTTTAGCTCGAAAAGTGGTTCCATGCACTCAGTGTGGAGCGGACTACGGTTCAGCAACCGCCTTGTGTGCGCTTGATTCCCCAAATACAGCGTGCTTGTGTTTGTCTGTGAAGGAGTGTGGGCCGGCTCCGTTGATGAAACGTGGCTCCCATCCGCATGCCTCCCGGTCTTATTCCTTCGGGTTTACACTGGATATGGGGTGTGTGGTTGGAGCTGTGCGTGGTGCATCGCAAGTCACCCATGGTCCCTCTGTAGGCGCAGGCGTCCTGTGTCTGACCACGGTGACAGGCAAATCCGGAACCGGATGCCGCCAACCAACCATATATGTATATATATATATATATATATATATATATATATATATGCTATCTCGGCTGACTGTATGAGGATTGATTCCCTACTGCTCTAATGTATACACCAAGTAGGCTGTCTCATGTAAGCTACCATATATTTAAGTGATGCTGTGGCGTTTTCATTTACTTTCCTCTTGTGGCTGAGTTCCTTCAATGCTCTCTCACTTTATCCCATTTGTTAGGATTCTCAGCTACTCGACGGAACTAATGTATTGAGTTTGACTTGTTTTGGGACGGTTGGTTTCTTTTGTAACGTTCGAATTTGCTTGAGAACTCTCTGCTAATGCTGTGTGTGGTTGTTCGATTTTTTTTTGCTTCCTTCTTCTGCGCCTCCGTCAAGGCTGGCAGTTGTTTTTGCTAACTACTTCTCGAATATGAAGGGATGGGTCTGTTGTAGTAGGCTTACCTGTTCATTGATGAGATTGTTTCACCAGAAGTCGATTTATCATACTGATTTTTAGTCGTGGTCACCTCGGACGCCTATGTGTGGTTTCCACTCTCGTCATATTTGTCTGACGGATCATATTGACCATTTTTTATGCGCAGTGTCCCACTATTCGTTAGGAATCGAGCTCTCAATCTATTGCACTGTTGCGATGATTCGCGACGGTCTTTGAATTAGTCCTGCCTCATTGGTTGCCATGCTGACATGAATTTTTCTTGTTTTTTCACCCAATCGCTTGTTTTTACGTTCACTGTGTGCGCCTGGACCCACTTGTTCCACTGTTTGTTGCTGCGGATGATCAAGTACTTCGTTTTAATCACATCATAGTCCACAGCGCTTGTAATATGTCTTCAGCTATGTGCTCACTCGTCTCATCTGCTTCGTTCCCCATGAAAGCGTTTGGAAACTCACGATTCCTTTATCTTGCCTTGATTGTTCTTCACAGCGGTCTCCAATAAACAGTTGATGTCTCTGATAAGGCTTTCATCCCGATAGTTCACAAGTTACATAGCAGAGCCTAGTCCGGAAAAGCGCCAGACGCGTTTCGCCATATTGGGGCTCGTCAGTGGCGCGCATTGCCTCGGTCCTCTAAGGAGGATCGAACCCCTGACCGCTAGAGTCAGGTGCCAACTAGCCAGCAGCTTAAGCCACTAAGCTAATGGGGAGGTTGGCTGAGCTACATAATTTACAAACTAGCTGGGATATAGCACCACCTATCTACCACTGTCACTGACAGTGGTTAACCTGCGAGGTGATGACGTCCTCTCACTAGACGCTATAACCATAGCATTTGAAACTAGGAGAGGCTATTTTTATTTTATATTACTCACCAGTAGCAGGATTTCAGTTGTATTTCTGATAAGGCTTTCATCCCAATACTTCACCTTACATAGCAGAGCCTAGTCCAGAATAGCGCCAGACGCGTTTCGCCCTATTGGGGCTCGTCAGTGGCGCGCATTCTCTCGGTCCTCTAAGGAAGATCGAACCCATGACCGCTAGAGGCAGATGCCAACTAGCCAGCAGCTTAAGCCACCGAGCCATGGGGGACGTTGGCTGGGCTACATAATTTGCAAGCTAGCTGGGATATAGCACCACCTATCTACCACTGTCACTGACAGTGGTTAGCCTGCGAGGTGATGACGTCCTCTCACTAGACGCTATAACTATAGCATTTGAAACTAGAAGAGGCTATTTTTATTTTATATTACTCACTTATCAGAAATACAACTAAAATCCTGCTACTCGTGAGTAATATAAACAGTTGATATGTTTCTTTTGAATATTATTGAGCCATCATTTTTGACGGTTATCAGAATACACGTGAATACTTTCCCCCTGATGTAGTTTAACTTTGTCTGGTAGCCAACTATCAGACCTGTTGAATGTGGATGATATACCTCTTCTCTCATCGACTCCATCTGTATCCTATCCTGACACAAAATTCTTCAGTCTAGACTATAGACCCTGCATCTTGAAATGTGTTGCTGTAGACTAGAACCGGCTGGCTTGCCGAATTATCTCCTCGTGGTGACAGCTGGGTGGTTCAGGTTTACCCCGTTCCAGTTAGGTGTTCGACAGCAGTGTTCCAGGATCTAGTGGCTTTTCGCTTGACTAGCCTTCTCCTCAGAAACAGTCACGAATGTCTGTTTAACGGCACTGCAATGTGGCGGAAATGACTCGCTACTGAATAAAGTCACTGTCCCTTGCTTCACCTCGGTGGGGCATTGTACTTCAGCAAGTATGCTGACATAACGGGGGAGATAATTGGGCATCTGTTTGGTAAACGACCAAACAAAAGGCGTATGAAGTGAACATTCAATCGCCGACTCCCAATGGGCGCAATTCCCTGAATTCACCCTACTGCCTTGTAGGCAGGCTATTTAGCCAAAGGGTCGGAGTTGTGTCCCCTAAGACAACTCTATTTCGGCGTGGGCAACCGGGTAGTATCACGCCCAGTAACAAAACCAGAGATGGCACATCAATCTGGTCCACATTTATTGACTCGGACCATGTTCTAGTCTGTGCACACATCTGCATGAGTTTTGGAAGGTCATCGAAATCGAAACATTTTAAGGCAGATAAAAATCAACCATCTACTCTCTCGGTTCAGCAGAGCTATCAACCTTCCTTGATCTATGCAGTCAACTGCGACCACCGCAAGACATTGATGAATACTGGCCGCTCATACAGACGACCATGTTCTCTTTTAGGAGGTTAGTTCGTGTTTTTACTCAACACCCGGAAGCCTAGTGTCAGTGAGACTAATCGCTGATTGCCAACGTACAGAGACGCTTGGATCAATGGGCCGAACACTTTCATTCCCAGTTCGGTTGGGCCTCATCATCCATTTGTATGCTCTGCAAACCCAGTTGTCCGCCCTGGGTCGTCACACTTGATCCATTAAGCGTAGCGGAGGTTGGTCTTGCGATTCAACACCTAAGACCATTCAAAGCTGTCGGCTCAGACGGACTTGCTCCGGAGATGTTTAGGTATGGATCCGCAACCACCCAGCTACCCACATTGTTCTCAAGAATCTGGCTTGAAGAGTAGGTGCCTTCTTCCTGAGGCGAATCAGTTATTGTCCTGATTTTTAAGAAGGGTGCTCGCACTTTATGTACTAATCATCGGTGGATCAGTCTCATTTCGAGTGCCTCCAAGTTATTGGCGTCCACTCTACTTCGTAGACTATCCTGAATCTCTGTACCGGAAAGAACAAGCTAGCTTTCGACTTGGTGGTGGGTATATAGATCAAATCTTCACGCTTCGCCAAATCCTCGAACACCGCCACCTCCTGCCTACCATCGTTGCATTCTTAGATATCCCTGTTGTATTCGACTCGATTGATCGAACTGCTCTGTGGCATGTATTCTACTTCCACATCTCCGGCAGAGTGAGGGTGTATAGCAGGCTTTCTTCGTCCCTCGCTGTCACTAGAGATGTACGAGAGGGCTGCTCTATGTCTCCGCGATTTTGCGATTGAATACGTCCTGTCGAGAGCTCTGGAGGGTTACCAACATTTTGGTCTGCAACTGCTACCGGGTAAGCAAACAACCGACTTAGATTACACCGACGACATCACCATACCTGTTGACGGGTCGCGGAGTATGTAAACCACTAACCCATCAGGCGATTGAAGCACCTAAGTACGAAATGTACTTCTCGCTCTCGAAATGCAGGGTGCTGCTCCAGGATTTCCGCTCTTCTGTTCCAGTGCTCACTGTTGAAGGTACACAGCTTAAACAAGAGGATAGCTCTGTCTACTCAGGCAGCTGCATGTCTGCTCGTGGCACCATTGAGAAGGAAGTTTCCTTCCGCATCGCAAAAAGTCACTCAGCGTTTGTCAACTTGAGACACTTGTGGCGTCGTCTGGATGTCTCCCTCTTTGTAAATGGTCGTGTTTACAATGCCACAGTTCCTGGCGGTGTTGATATGTGGCAGTTTGCGTAGATGGCATGCGTCATCTCTCGGCCTTCGATACTGAATGCTTGAGGTGTTTTGCTCGTGTGTGCTATCAACAACGTATCTTCAAAAGTGTAGTCAGACGTCTTGTCTTAGGGAATCCGAGTATTCCCTTCAACAAGCTTGTTTTGCTGCGTCAGTTAAGATGGCTCGGTCACTTCCTGCGTATGTCAGGTGCGCGTTTTCCCCATTGCATCTTTTTCGCTTGGTTGAAATGGACCACACGGTGATCAGTCGTCTACCTGGCGACAGCGCTTATGAAATCCCTGACTTCATGTCTTGTTCTCGTTGAACCCACACGTCTGCCTGGTTGGTGATCAAAGGACGAGTCGTGCTGATGGCTGGAAACAGTTTCCGAAAATAGCGCGCAACGAAAACCACTGGAAGATCTGTGTAAATACTTTTTATATTCAAATGCCTAATGCCTAACAGTGGGAAAAGCAAATATGAGGTGCACAAACTAACGAAAAAGGTTCCGCTTTTTATTGCGGCACAATAGCTGAAGTGCGTTTATTACTATACAACTAATCTCGTCAGTCCATTGCTCTGTTTCTGCCTGTCCTTACAGTCGGTTTGCGATTATCGAAGGATTTTACGGACCAGTTTTCATCGTATTGTCACTTGATAGAGTGCAATCCCAGCTAGACCTTGCATATAAATACATACATTTTGCCGCAACATAAGTCTGTTCAACTCTCCTATATGGTTGTAAAACCTGGCCCATCAGGTCGACAGACATAAAGAGAGTCGTCACATTCGATCATCGCAGCTTAGCTCATGTCTGGTGGGAGCATCGCATGTGCAATGAGCGTGTTCGGCGTCACGTATTTGGTGCAGGGAGAGCGAGTGAACCGCTCAGCACCATTATATCACGTACCAGGCTCCGATGGCTGGGCCACGTGTTGCGCATGCTGGCACACCGACTCCTGCGACGCGCATTGTTTGCACGCCGGGAATGCGGTTAGAAGAGGAAGAGGGGAGGCCAAGTGATGACTTGGTCGAGAGAAATGAAAACCCTCACTTCGAAGTTGGCGTCAGTTGGTGCATCCCGACTGCCTGGCTGGGGTCCTAAGGACAATGAACACGTTTGATTGGACACACTTGTTGATATGGCTAGGAGCTGGCCCCAATGGTGTTTGTGTTGTGAGTTCCTTTGTCCATCCCCTCCTGCTTAGTATCCCCTCCAATCACGATCTCACTCGTTAGGCATAATATGACTTTCTTTTACGGCAGCCAGCTGTTAGCTCTCCGGAACGATGTCCATCCGTTACTGGGGACTGAGCCGGCGTGCCACTGTTTGTTTTCCTTTTCTTCTCTTTTGTATTGCGGCACAATAGCTGAGGTGTTTTCCACCTGCAGTTAACGTGTATAATGATGATGATGTCGCCACATATCTAACTTGTGCTCTTTCCCCAAATACCCCATCTCTCATTGGTCATTGTTTCAACTGTGATGCATTGCAATTGTCTACATTTTTACTGCCATTTTCGTCCCAATTGTCTAGGACAAACACGTTCGCTCTTTTTTCTACGCGGTTCTAGTCGAATACATGAGGTCGCTTATGGAATGCGATATTCCCATCGAAGTGAGTCTTCACATGTCTTCAAACCTATCTGTCATTTGTTTTTCTCCACTTCACACTTGAAGTGTGCGTCGAATTCTCACTAGAACGCTTCTATTGTCTTATCTCTCTTGATTGCCTTAAGGTTTCTCGTACAAAAATTGTTGAATGCAGAGCACTAAGGCCAATTTCATAAAGCTTTGACGATTCAGTTCAAATCAATGCGCCAGTGTGTATCGAATCTGGTTGCCATTAGTGGTGCCACCAAAATGCTCGAAAGTGGATTAAAATGCGACAAATTTCACCACGTGCAGCTCTTTTGGAAGAGATTGGCAGAAAGCTTCCCGACGGGCAATGTGAATAGATGTAAGCGAGACTGAACAGACGAAGGCCGGTAACTAAACGACTGGGTTTTCTTTCACAGACTCCCCACCCCCTGACTTGATTTCTGTGGAGGCTAACATTCAGGAATGGGTTAATGATATCGAGGTTCAGGCGCCTAACTCGGTTTTTTTCCTCGCTAACATGCGAGTTTACGTGGCTTGGAGTATGAAGACCGGTGCGAGAAACTAGGACTCTACATCTTGTCCTACCGTCGGATGCGAGTCGACCTTATTATGACCTACCGTATTCTACATCTCGGTGACTTCGCAATGCTAAGGCCAATGGTGCACTTACGAGGGCCATGCAGCACATGCGGACACAGAGACAAACTTGTTGTGCCGGATGTGAAGCGAGTTCCTCACCCATTGTGCTTCGAACGGAGAGTGGTAAATATTTGGAACGGTTTGCCTGAACATATGACGGGGACATCTGTGCAGCAGTTCAAAACGTTAGATTTTATAGTTTGCTGCTATTCGATTCAGCGAACGATTGCACACTTACCATGACATCTCACATTTGTGAGTCCTGAAATATCGTGAGTCAGATATTTTAAATGTTACATGCGAACGATAACGATATCCACAGCTGACAATTTTTATAAAGTTTTTCACCATATTTCGAAAGAGTTGTGCAGAATTCACTTCTACTTGCTCTATAATACATTATTCAGTATTTATGATGAGCGTCCCTATATATCGATCGAAACTCGGGTGTATGGTGTTGCTGTGCGTTGTGTTTTGGCGTTAACATCCGAGTCAATACCATTAGATGTCTAACATGTTAAGAGCTTAGTCACCTTTGACCACTGACATCTGCAATTGTCATTGCTCCGAACAGGTTGCCGATTGTCTTTGTCATTGGCTTGACTCGCTCCTAGAAACTTGTACGATTCTCTGCTGTGTATAGTTGTGCGTGCTTTGTAAATTGTCTCACTGGAAACTTTCATTAAAACTTCAGGCCCTGAGATTCTGTATCTTTCTTGCATCCCAACTAGAATAAATGAGGCCCTGGTTTCAAAGGTTATGAGCCAGTTACGCACAGTGGAACGCATCTACCTGGTTCCGAATTCTCCTCAGTACGAAGAAGGTTGGGTTGAACTTATCGACCTTAATTGCACTGATGTCACTACATCGAAAGTAGAACAAAAAAACAGTTTGGTCCACACACAGATCTCTCTGCCAGGGCTCATTAATGTATGCTCTATCCATTGCTTTGTAATTCAGTTCAAGAAAGAGCTTTATGTACCCAAGCGGATGAATGTTCGGTTGTTACACACTTGCCTTCAGTATCGTAATACGAATAAAACGTAAACGGTAAATGAACAACTCGACTACTAGTGGCCTAGACAGCAATATGCTTACAATCCAAACTTGCTTGTAAGCTTCAGAACAACTGAGGTCTGATCGCACAAAAATTGCGCAAAATATAGACATTCCTGAGTTCACCTGTTCGCCGAGCTTCTTAATTGGTATGCAGACGTTTCATCCTCGAAACATGGTACTCGATAAACATCCACATAGAGATTGACCCGGTTTACCAAACATTAAGACGGAGAGAACTAAAACAACATAAAATCCGTCGTGGGAAGCTAAACGAGCCGTCAACAACACAACCGCAACAGCCAGGGCAAAACCATCCCACGGATCGCCCGTGTTTATCAGAGAATCTGGGCACTTGGGTAAAGGTCACGGGGCACAGATCGAGGAGATAACTTCAAAAGTCACTTGCTGCTCGATCACAAATCAACTACATTTGACCCAGCAGCGCACTGAGGAAGTCAGCTCGTTTGGTGATGAAACTGTTGCATACCAATTACGAAGCTCGGTGAACCCAGGATCGGTCAACCCGATCTATCAGTGCATCAAGTCGTGTGGAAAATCGTAGCTTCTGAGGCTAACCGCCATCCTCTGCACAGTCCGTAAATGGCAAGACAGTGAAGGATGAGCCGAGCTGTCATAGTCAACTGTAAGTCGTACAGTTCCGCCGCCGCCGTCACCCTTGGCTTAGTGGCACAAGCTGCTGACATCCGGAAGTCATGGGGTCGGAACCCGGCAGGGGACCGAGGAACGTACACCACACTGACGAGACCCAGAAGGTCGAACCAGTTGTCTGGGACTTTTCCAGACGTGTGGGAACCTGTCTGACTGCGAGGTGATTGCAACGAACAACATCTAAAATTTGGAATTACTGATGAGTGCTAAGCTCTTATACGAGTTTAATTGGATCTGTACTTTTATTCTCTAAAATTGGGTGTCAAACGCGCACTATTTACTGACTGACGATATTCACCCTTAACAGTGACAGGTGGCCGTTTTAGCCTATCACCGCTATCAACTGTTAACAACATGTTGTGGCTAGTGGTATAGGCGAAGGCAAGCAGCCAGCTCGTTAATTGGCATTTATCGCGACCAAATTTGCTATCCCATTCGGTGGGAATTCACGTCAGCTGACGTCGACCGCCAACCGCATCGATATCCGCCAACACTAGTGTCCATCTTCTCCCGGAGATTCTTAGATTATCGGTTTTGGGGATCGTCTGACACTCAAAGTTCTTCTTTGCGTTGGCTGACTTCGTCATTAATGAAACTTCCGTAATCTCCTTCTCTGTAATCTAGACGAGAACACCAAGGACGTCACAGATGTTAACATCTGTAAGATATTATTCGTTTTCAAACAGCGTGGTTTATTTGACACCGTGGTTATCACGATGCTTGGTCGTTCAGCCCACTAGCTGCCGTTGCTTATTCCCTTCCACTTTTTAGCATACCTTTCAAGAACTACTCGTCAGTCTTCTTGCTCGTTTGGAACAATGCTCACAGCTAAGTTACTGCATACAAAATCGTTTCCTATCCGATTCGAAACCCATCGTGAGTTGTTTTTCACCTGTTGATCTACTGTATGTTTCCTTGATACACATTAGTTTGTAGCCACGAAGAGATAAGTCATGTTTTACAAACATTTATATCCTCTTTACATGAATGGAGCGAAATTACCTACAAGCTGCGTATAACGGTAAAGTAACTACTGTTCATAATATGCTTGACTGTGACTTTTTGGAATGTTGATCATGTTTTATAGCGTAAATCGATGCCACAAACAGCATGTGCGAGGAACCTGGGGCCTGCGTTGGTGTATGCTTGTGTGTGTGTGATTATTTACACGGCAATACCATTGGTTGGAAATTTCGAAGACGGCCGAGCAATATGTATGCATTGTCGTGACTTTCAGGGAATATACATGGGACTAAATAGCGTTTCTTTGATTTCCACTGTGACGCTCTTTTTGTTTCCGAGCACTCAATCATTGATCTCGAACCATACATGTTGTGATACCGTGTCGACACTGATTTGAAGATACGATTCAAACTTGAGGAAAATTGTCAATCATTAAAAGTTCATTTTGATGTAAACATTTGTGTGAATGGATTGCGACGCTCAGTCTCAATGTGCACCGCGATTCTTCTTTTGAACCTTGGCTAAATCAATCACTGGGACCGTTACTGGCAATATCGGTTGTACCAAGCCTTGTCTGTCTTTACCCAGAGGTTTAGGGGTATCGGTCACAACTAGTATCCCCATAGTCCCAGGTTCGGTGCCTGCTACCTCTCTCTCACCAGAAATCTAACGAAGTCGAAACGCATCATGGAGTGCAGTGTTTTCGGGCGGGCAACACCCAATTTCCATCTGCTTCCGTCCATCAGCTACGGTCCTGGTGCTCAAATTCCCAAACTTCACTTCAATGGGAATCGCGGTCCACATCGAGATTGCGCATCGCAGTATCTATGCACACAACTTGTACTTCAAAATGATCCTCCAAGTAGTCCCTAAGCGTTGTGCCAAGTGTTGCCCGTCGGGACCAGGGGTAGCGATCAAAATTAGCATCCCCATAGTCCCAGGTTCGATGTCTGCTATCTTTTATCTGATGAGATCAAAGAAGGTTGAAACGCGTCATGGAGTGCGTAGTGTTTGGGCGAACAACACCCAGTGTTTACCGGCGTTTCTAATATAAGAAAATCGCTATGGAACGTGCTAATTTACTCAACACCTATCCCCGGGATCTGGTATTTCTCAAATGATCCGCAAGCAGAATTTATCTAGTACGGCACTAAAATACTGAGTAACCACAGTTGTCTAACCCAGCCTGAGGGATGAATGAAGCTTAACTCCTTGTTCTTCGCCCGAACTTTCGCTTTTGTAGTTCCTTCCCTTTGCACCTGGGTTGCGCTTGTCTGTGTATAGTTTGGAATTCCCTGGTCGGCCTAACACCCGTTGTGTCGCAGCGCTAGTGGGCCTTCCCTTTTTTTAGCTTCGCCAGCTCGCACGTAAGGCCGTTGCTTATTTGCCTGTTTTCGCTAGTTCGTTAAATCACCTTAAACCTCGCAATCTGATCTAATATTTGCCGCTTGTCTACGCATCAGCTGACACTTTCTCTTCCCTTCTGTCCTTCCACTGTGATCCATCCACTGAATTTCCGTGGACCTGGCTTCTGTGACTCTTGCCATCATAATTTTGAAATTGTACTACTGCCTAGAGAGCAGTGGGGATTATTGTCCTTTAAGATGTTTCGTCGCAGCTAAACTCAACCAGACAACCAGCACACATCCAGGAAAGCGCTAGCTGCTCGGTTTGTTCTGTTGGGATTTGTCAGTAACATCCATCCGTCGAATTCTATCGAATCCGAACCCATGACCTTACTCTAACAAGTCAGCGACTATCTTTTCAAGCCATCACCGATCGAGATGACAGATTAGATGCTAAGGCGATTACTTTTTAGTACAGAGTAGTAGGGGGGTTTGTTGAATGTGGTAGTTGTAGATCTAGATACTAGCCTTACCTTGTGCATGTTCATATTCTTGGATATTCGAGCCGCTGTTGACTCAGTTGACAGAGTGGCTCTTTGCTACTGCTTACCAAAGAGGGGAGTACCTGAGAAGTACATAAGCATTCTCCGTGCTATTTACCATCAAACTTCGGACCACGTGCGAGCATACGGAGAAATTTCGCCCCCTTTCAGTATCACTAGCGGTGTTAGACAGGGTTGCTCAGCTTCTCCATTCTTGTTCAACTTCGCCATGGACGAAATCCTGGATACTGCCCTGGATAACTCTGAGTCCTGCGGTGTTGAACTGCTACCTGGTGACCGCCTTCGTGACTTAGAGTACGCCGATTACATCGATGTGATTTCCGAGTTTTCCCAAGCCGCCCAACATGTGCTGCTCAGACTGGAGATGCCCGCCGCCCAATTTGGGTTGAGCTTTGCCCCTTCCACATGTAAGGTTCTATTACAGGATTGGCCAAACGCATGTCTTTCTCTCACTCTTTCGGTGCATCCGTTGGAACTGGTCGACAAATTCATTTATCTTGGGAGTTGTCTTAGTATTTGTGGTTTGACAGACGAGATCTCTCTGCGTGTCTCCAAGGTTAGAGTCGCTTTCGCTAACCTTCGTCACCTGTGGCTTCGTCGTGATCTCAGCCTCGCTCTCAAGGGACGAATCTACAATGCTACGGTACGAGCGATTCTGCTGTACGGCTGTGAGACTTTGCCCGTTCGCAAAAGCGATGTTCAGCGGCTATCTGTCATCGATCACCGCTGCCTGCGAAGCATTGCTGGTGTTCGATGGCAGCACCACATCAATAATGAGGAAATCCGTCGGCGAGTCTTCAGATCTAAGGAAATCCGCCGATCGACTGATAGCATCAACTCACTGCGGAGGCTTCGCTGGCATGGTCATGTGCTTCTCATGCTTACCAAGCGGCTACCACGACGAGCCCTATTCGCGAGCACAGGTGTGGCATGGAAGCGACGAAAATGAGGGCAATATAAAACTTTGATCCAATGTGTTAAGGCACAAAGGATGAAGCTGGTTGTTGTCGGGCGTTCCCGACTCCCGGGTTGGGGTCTAAGGACCCCGAGCACACCTGGTTGCAAACGCTGGAGGGTATGGCCAAGGACCGTACGCAATGGCGCGATTGCTGTGAGACTGTTCCATCCTAACAGTTGTCTTCCTTTTCATGCTATCATTTTCCGCTTATGTGTTGTGGCACTCAGCCGATTATATTGTAATTGGTATAGTATTATATATATATATATATATATATATATATATATATATATATATATATATGTAATCTGCATGTTCATGATATGCGTGGCAGTGAAAGATGAGCCCCGCCGTCACGCATTGCTTAGGGGCATACGTTACCGATACGTAAGGATAAAGTTCTGGCAGTATTCGGCGAATGCGCACTCCTAATGAGTCCCAATAACACGACACTGCCGTTTAGCGCTTTTTCTCTGAATATGTGTGTGTAAATAAATGGTATACTCCTCGGCACTTCGAGGTGCAGTTCAACTATGTGGTCTGATCAATGTGTAGAATAGAATCGCAAAAAAATAATCAGTTTGTTCACCCTTTTTACAATGGATCCAAAACGGGTATTAAAGTACTTGGCAGGATTTAGGTATTAAAGAAATTTAAAAAACCAGGAACAATAACAAATGCAGATTTAAACAAATATCCAGGTAAAGTAATGCGGCCACTCGTGGAACCGTCCCTGGGGGACCTGCTTCCATGCAAGGTATTCCCTCGAAAGGTTTCGTTCGCACTTCCATGCTATACCTGGCCGCGTGCTGGTGTGGCATAGTAGCATATGAGCCATCACCTGTTTGTCATATGTTGTCTTCTTTTTAGGGCTGCTTTTATACACGTATTATGAGCGATGAAGCCTCAGCCCAGTCCGTCATGCGGATCATTCAGTTATGTCTTTTTGTTGTATATCAGTCAGTTTGTGGCAATGTGCCTTGCATAGGTAAAGTCTTTTATAATCTGGAAGCTATAATCCGTCACCACAGGAGATCGGCCCAGTCGTGGCCAACATTGAAATAAGGAAAAATGGAGAAGAGGTAGAATAATATGAAAGTGCTACTATATCGTTATGTAAAAATTAGGCAGGTATGTTTTTTTACATCAACGTAAAAATGGATCGAGCCGATTATACGATCAAATTGTGTGGCGTGACAGCCGGAGACAGGCAACTGTACAAGTTGTCCATAGGCACAAGTCAAATAAAGAATCCGTTATTACCGTCACTGAATTCCAGTATATGTTTCTGGACTGTTAACTCCAGAGAAGAATAGGAAATGGTTGGCATTGCAGAACAAATGTAGCGAAGGGAATCGCAGAACAATATTACGAATTAATCAATTTGTGGGGAGAATTACGAAAGTAGTTCCCGACCCCACACCAGTAAATAATTTTGCTCTCGGTTTTAAACAGAAGACAGTTGGTATGAATTAAGTTTGAAAGGAGTAAAACCGCATAGGAGGTAGCATTGAAGAATAGCATAAGAAGCGGTTTGTAACAGCTCATCCTAGATGATCATGTTTGCTCTGGTGCATTTGTTGGATATGTTTCGAGTCGATGTTCTCCGGTATCATACATGATCCGGCCCTTCTTCATACAGCTTTTCATCATCAACTTGAAGGTTTAAGATCCATTTCACTCTGTCCGTTGACAGATAAACCTTTATCATTTTCTTGAACATGCAAAAATGTTCAATACATCTAATCTCTTTTGGCAGCTTATTCCATATGGAGCCATACCTAAGAAGGTAGAAATTTCTCCTTAGGCTGGTCTTGAATTTAGGTAAAGAGAATATACATTCACTATGCAGTCTAGCTGTTTTTCGCCACAACCAGTCGTCTCCGAAGCTGACTAGAGATGTTTTAAAGCACCGAATCTGGAGTCTGGAGCCTTCGACATTGTCCTTTTCGGGCACACTCACCTGCGACCCGCTTCAGTTTAGAGTTTGTTTTGTCGAACTTTCCTCAATTAATATCTGCATTGGATCACAACCTCGCTCTTTGTGTTTTCGGAACCCACCGAAACGGGCTCACGCTTCACGGTCGACAAAACGATTGGTATGCTGTTTTCAGGGTTGCGACACATCTTGTTGCTATGTTTTCTCTCAGAGATGGACCCCTTTGTATCTGCTCGTTCGTCTCTAAACAGCCGGTCAGTAGTCTCTGGTGAATACATCAGCTTTTCTTTTGGCGATCGCCAACGAAATTGAATCGCGAATTCCGGCTGCCACTTGCTTACCTCATGTGGCAAATATGCGCAGCGTTTCCGTGCGTGGGTTCCTCTGTAATGCATGGACAATTCATCTAGAATATCCCATCGGCAATACCTCGTATGCCTGAACGATTCTTATTGCGTATGTCCTAAATGCTGTTCGCTTGGCGTGACTAGCTAACGCAGGCGCCTCATTTTCCCGAAATTCACTGGTACACGTCGTTATAGATTATGGCTTTGTTGGTTTACGCACTTCCAAGACTTGCTTGAACTTCTTAGGTCAGCTTAGTCCGGCCACCGCCCCCTTGCATGTGGCCCCGGATTTCACGTCACTGTTGCATCTACTTCCAGTCAATCACGGCTTCCAATCTTGTCTCCCCTCGTCTACAGTGCATATGAAGTGTTTGTGTGATTGTACACAACACAATTTCCTCATTTGCGTCTTCCATCTTGGCAACTACCTGTCGTCCCCACAACCAGTGTCACCTTGGCTGCTTGTGGCTGCACAGTACAACAACTGTCCATCGTGTCCCACGGCTGGACAGTCTTGCAATGTGTTGGCACACTATTCGTCCCACGGTGACTGCTTATCATTTGACCACAATCTTAGGTTTCAATAGATTTATTTACTGTGGGCATCTATCGCTGGGGTCGTCCCACAATGTGTTTTGCATGCAATCCTTGAGATTTCCGCACATTTTGTAGGCACCAACAATTTACACGACAGGCTAGTAGTTATATCATTAAAGGACACTGCTTTAAAGCCTGGATTAAAGTTAAAACCATAGGTAACTCATGTGTATCCAACTGTGCTCTCGGGGGTTCATTTCCTAGTCCAATTACAGCACACACCCCCACCGACGCCATAGCTCTCCGAAAATCAAAATCACATGCTACTGGGCTTTGATCAAAATTTTTTCTTATATTCGCGTCGGCAGGTGGCCGAGTGGTCTGCACGCCTACTCTGCATTCATAAGATCACCGGTTCGAATCCGCCACGTAGGGGCGGGCGTTCTCGCGGTATACTCTCAGCCCACGCGCGATTGTTGGTGGTCGTGCGGCAGCGAAACGTCCTCATGGCGTACAACTGACGGTTTATTTATTCTAAATTCGTACTAGTTTGATTTGATCACAATGTGGCGCATTTCCTCTAGCTGTTTCCCTTGTGGGATCCGCTTGAGCTCTTCTCTTGGTATTATCGACGCACTCAGTCGGGGTCGAGTAGGGGCTATCGACGTCAGCAAGCAAAAGCTCACCCTGGGGTCATCGCTATTCTCTACTGATCCACAGTGGTTGTGACATCGCTTTTACTAATCATGGAATTGTATTTGACTTATTTACGTCTGCTGTAGTCAGCTAGCCGGGTCTTCTGTTTGATTTATGTATCGTGCCGATTTCTCACTGAAGTGGGGTCGATTGTGAAGCGGTGGGGCAAGGAAAACTTCGAGTTGTCGCTCAGATTTTACTTTACTTTTACTCAATTGTCTGCTATATGTGCCCGCGCAATGTGATGATTCGCTGCCGCTCAATCACCAGCAATCGTGCGTGGGCTATGGATACTGAGAGGATCGCCCGGTGCCTACTCATGCTCAGCTTGCAAGTCAGGCTTGTGATCCCTTAGGCTACGGGCGGACTTTGTCACGATTGATAACTTGGATTATTTTTCTATTGCATTACCTCCCTCCTCTGTCTCGTTGGTGCGCTCATTTTTCGTTTGTTCATACCTTCCGCACGACTTTTCCATTCGTACTTAACGACACCTTAGGAACACCATTATCGATTTTCGATAGCCCCACAGTCCAGTTTGTAGCACATGTCTCGCTTCAGTTTGTTTTGGCGATAATAATAACAGTAATAGTAGTATGCGTATCGTCCGGCTGTGATAAACTGCTTCAGACATCTACACACAGGTACAAGCATGCTCTTGCATGATGGCCATGTATGTGAGCGGGCATTTGTGTCCCTCCATATTCGTTGCACAACATTAGATTTACCGCATGGTGATTTTGTGAAACGCTATTGAATAGAATAGAGTCTCGCTGTCGCGAAATCGAGTGTTTTATGTACGTTCCGCATATTCGCTATGCTTATGCGACAAAAGACACATAGTGATATTGAGTACCAATTGTTGAGAAGTAAGTGTTGGCGTGAACACATTGTTTCTTGACCTATGCTCGCGTTTTTTCTAGTTGGGAAGCGATTAACCTATGTGAGACTTCCGCATGATGTCAGTTGACGCTCGTGATTTACGGCTCGGTACTTATTCGCCATTCCAGAACCCCCCCGTCCGTCCGTGTGGATGGAAAACTGAATTGTCAAAATGACAATGGCAACACCAAGCGCATTTACAATCCTAATTACTTGGGGCTCACACACTTTCCGATAGCCAAAGTCTTATCATACTCATTGGAAACTCGATTCGGAGTACACGTTTGGATTGGGACGCACAATCTCCATGTGTACCGTGATTCGCATTGAAGTGAATCTTGGTCGGTTCGATCATTAGGACCGTAGCTGAAGCAGGCGGAAATTGGGTGTTACCCTCAGTGTTTCCAATTTTCATCTGTCCCTACTTGTAATCGGAGTTTCCTGTCTACCCAAACGTTGATGTCTGACAAACCCCTGCACGAACTCTGTTCCTTACCGACATTGTCGTTTGGCATTTCACTACTCGTTTCCTCTATGCCCGAATTCTGCCTCATTCCTGTCAGCGGCACCACCCCATGTTTGAACTGCGTCCTGTCCCGCCTGTCTCTCTACTATCACTTCGTGTACCCATACCCATTCATTCACGTTTCACTTCCACTAACCTTGACATCACCCAATCGCTCGTACGCCCATTCTTGTGTTGTATCCTGACACCAGGCGACCTTGTATTGATCTGATTGGAGCCGCATTGGTCGGCGCCATTAGTCAGATTCCACGACCTGTCGGTACATCATTACATGTTTCCCTATGCTCTGTGCGAGATCAGTTGACTGTATTTTGGTTCATGGGTCGACCTGGGTGATTTGACCCAGAGATTGCTTCTGCATTGAAAGACCTTTGGGTGCATTTACATTTGGAAATCGTTGAGGTATTGCCTGTTTCTTTATGATTACGTTGTTCAATAGCACCGCTTTTTCGGTTCCGGTTTTGGTTCTTGTTAATTTCTCGTCGGGACACGCGTTGCTTTACCACCCAAGCGTTTTGAACGCTTACAATACTCATTTGCTTCACAAGGAATGGACAGGTGAATGGAAACTGCGAGCATTTCGCTACATTCTCTGATACAGACGTTGAGCGCGTCAATGTCATGCTACACTACCTAGCCTGTGGAGCTGCATTGTGCGCGCTAGTGCATGAGTGTCCATCTCCCGACTAACCAGCGATGCTTATTGATTGGTCCAAAAGCGAGTGCTTAGCTAAAACATGTGGACTGCGTAAAACTAAACAGTTGATCTTGTTTCCAGTGTGGACTGCCGATGTACTATTGCCACTGCTTCTACTAAACTTCCATTTGCAATACTCTTGTTCTGATTTCGGTTGAGTGTAACATTCTCCCATTTTGCTATCCGACCATGTGGGTCCTACTACTATGTTCCTTGTAAACGATGTCACTGAAGTAGCCACATGGGGAGTCAGTCCCAACGCAGTTATTAGAAAAGGTTATGAACCTGCTCTACTATCTACCGTGGCAATGTATACTTTCTTACTTCGCTTTTTTGTATCAAGCATGGTCGCTTTTACTGTAATTCATCTATTTTTGCTCAACAGTGGAATTCCTCTCGACCAGTTTGATGAGACACCAATGGTTGACACATGCTAAAAGTTTTATTTTACGCGCTCTTATCCTAGGCCTTGCAGTTACTTGCATTGGAGCCTACGTATCCCGCTGCCGTTCAGCTGGCCATCGATATGTTAAAGGTGAGCTGTATAAAACACTCGGATTTCTGCTATTCACTTTCACTTATATCTTCTACTCTGGCTACTGTTCTGACTGGCATTCATTTTGTAGGTGGCTCATAGTGACTCACAGCGTGCGCTCAACAGTTGCACTAATTTCCTCTGTTGTCTCCCTCTGCCACCGCATGTCCTTTCATGTATCATTCGTGCCTACTAGTGATGTACTCATGGGATAATCAGTCGTGAATCACTTGGACTCACACGCCATTTCCTTGTTTCACTAGCCGTCTGTCCTCTGATTGTTGGCGTTTGCATTAGCCGCCGTGTCTTGGATTGCGACACGTACTCTCACTTGTGACTTCGGATGACTTTGAAGTCAGCCTCGTACCATTCCGATCACTGGGACCGTATCCGACCCGGTTTTGCTCTGTCTCTCTCTATCTGGATTACAGCAAGGGGCGACAACAACACCGAAACCGTCCGTCTGTCGTTTCTTCTTACTTCCTTAGTGTTACGTCCTCCTTTGTAGTTTGTTCAAACCGCACGGAATCTATTGGTCTACCGTCACCGCTCAGTTAATGCTAGATGGTGGTGCATTCGTTGGGCTGCAACTGCGTAGAGCCTTCAATCCTTCCGACACTTCATTGATGTGTGGATTCTTTAAGGATCAATTGTCCTCTTCGTAGTTCCCCTACATGCCTTACAATCCCATCACTACTTGGTAACTCGCCGTGGAAGATGCAACACAGCGGATTGTTTGCTAGCACTCTTCAGTAATATTTCAGAGTTGGCTGAATCTCCCTTGTTTCCTCTTCTTACCAGAGTACACACTCAAAACACCTTGCATCACCACAAGCCTTGTTTAAGCTAACGATTGCGCATGCATACTCATACTCAATCCGTCTGTTCTATCCACTAGCTCGTTTACAATGTGGTTTATTCGTGTAGGAACTCATGGTCTCGCAACTTGGCTTCATTGGCCTTTTTGCCTCACCAGGTTCTCTTTATATGTGGGGCCTCCAATGAGAGCATCTCCGTTTTCATCGCTCATCCCGGCATCGGTTCGGTGTGTTCAAATAGTAATAATAATAATAATAATAATGCAAGTAGAAGCCTTTGCTGTATGGCCTTCTTCTATTTTGACCCCAATTAGGTTGCTAACTTCTATCATTTCGTGCTCTGATAGCGATCGGATGATACGTTAAGCATTCCACCGCTCAACCAACATGTACTCTGTCAAGTGTAATAGTCGACTTTATTGATCAAGTCTTTTGATTTTCTGATTGTCGTGACTCCACTATTCCTTCTCTTTGGCTTCGTCTGCTCTTTGTGCTCCGACCTTCCATTTTATAATAGTAAATGCCCACAAAGTTTTGTCGGAAAGATTTCTGTTCGTAAACTTGTGTTCTTGGGTACAATTTACGAGTAATAATAATACTATGTATATTTCTCATAACCTGAAAAACTCTGTGGCGATATGCGTATGTGGTATATTGGGGCATGCGATTCATGTGATAGCATTTTGTACATGGTTGATGGAAAGCTAACATTTGGAAACGTGGATGTTTCGATGTTTTTGGACCCCTTTGGACTACATCGTGAGATTTTTTATGTGCATCTAACCTGATGGTATTCAGATCAATGCAAATTTCGAGTTTGTTACAAGTTGCTGTCAAATTGTCACATAATCTAAATATACTTGGCAGCTTGTTTCACAGAGATTTGTACTTGACCAGGAAAAATCTGGAGCGCGTGTTTGTCTTAGGCTTCAGTTTAATCAGTGTATAGCGTTCGTTGCAAAGCGCTCGAGTTGTGCTCTGTCATATTTCAATTGTAGGCTGATTGGAATAGGTTTTCTTCTTGTGTAGCAGCTTTTAAAAGCAGCAACAACCTATACTTCAATCGTTGCATCCAAAGTGATTCGTGTTGCAGTTGATTGCAGCGCTTTCGATAATTCACGTTAAATGTTTAATCAACGACATCTTCAGGTGTTCCGGAGCAATTCTGTTTCTCGTGTTGCCGTACTCTCGAGGATGGGGCGGGTAAGTAGCCTAAAAAGCTCAACTTCTCACTATCATGGATTATGCGGAAGTAGAACAGCCGATAGATTCATCGTCTGCGAGTGTTACCATTTTCCGAATTTTAGTAGCCCCTACTGCTGTGTACGCTAACTGATGGTTCTACGTGCGCCCGTGGGATCACCTCGTGATTGATTGGTTGTACGTTTGTCTATGGACCGCTAATACTTATCACGCCTATAAAGAGTCCTTCAACGGAATTCACAGTTCCAAGTGCATCGTGCCTTTGTTCTGATTGCCGTTCGTGTCTGTGTTCGTGGTGCTGCTACTGAGGTCGGATTGCGGCTTGGCCAACTGCGCATATTGGGACACAACATTGGCGTCGCGCCTACGATACACTGCAATGACATTTCATCTATCACCTCCGGATGCTTTCTGGTGCGATGCCAGTGCTAAGCCTACTGAAAGCGATTGGGCTCAGTGGAAAACTTCTTTTACGAATTACTTGGATTTATTACCGTCAACTGCTTCTTACGAGAATCAAAAGTTGAAGCTTCTTCATCACCTTTTAGGCAATGAAGGCCAACGCTACTTTGACGCATTGGAACTACAAAAACAGGACACGCTTACAAATGCATTGGATGTGTTGCATCGATCTTGGGGTGCCCGACCTAATGCTTTCGTAGAACGTTACAAATTCTGCCGGGTTGATGCAAGAGGACTCAGAGCTATTGGAGCACTTGGTTTCCCGTTTGATCCGTGCCGTAAAAACCTGCGATTACACCAGCATCCCGAAGACTAGATTTGAGGGAGTTATGCTGACCCAACAGTTAATAGCAGGCATCACTGATCATCGCATACGAGAAGCCCTACTTTCCGAAGACCCTTCGAAGCTTTCCTGGGACAGAGCCATAGAGATCGCCAGGTTCAAAACAGCTACGCTCGAACAGTCGCGCCTGTTCAACACAAGTGAAACCATTGAAGTCAATAAACTACAAAATAAGGCTTCCGCCTAATCTCCAAAGCTGAATGTTATCGGTGTGGAATTGCTTGCCACGAAGCAAAATGTCAAATATGTCCGGCTCTCACAGTGGATTGCAAAACTTTGGTAAGCAGGGCGATTTCACCCAATGCTGTCGCTTTCGCCGGGTACCTCTAGTTGACCATAAACGCAGTGATGCTCCTGTTACCACAACTGCTGAAGATCTCTTTCCGGTCAAAAAACTACTTCAACCAGAAACCCTGCAGACTTTTCGGTTGAAGCCCAAGCTCCCTTCCCCCTGACATCCGTACACTTACGCTCCATGATCGTCACACAATTGTGCCAATCGCTATGGAATCAGATTCTGCATCGCCCATAACCATTATCCCATCTAGCCTTTACGACAATTACTTGCATGACATTCCAGTGCATCCAACGTCGTACAAATTTGACTCATACACAAACGGCCGTGTACACATTCGCGGTTACATCCGACGTCACTACGTATGTGGCTTCTGAAAATAGTCCAGCACTGCTTGGTCGAAGTTCCATGCTCGCCCTTATTTCATCCATCGACGGAATGCGCATCACGCGGCTCAAACCCTCAACGCTTAAAGGTCTACGTCCCAAGCTGTTCATTGAAACAATTGGCCAGACTTCTCCGGCGAAACACAATTCCTCGTATGGCACTGATTCCTCTTTGGCCGGAGGCTTACACTGGGTACAGAACACCCCGCTCGTAGACGACCGCAACATTAACGCCAGATAACTGTGCCCGGACCTACTATCGAATGCAGTACCACTGTCCAAAAAGAAGGGCGCAGGCGACGTGACCGTGCCATCGACTCACAGCTCAGCTTGAAGTGCTCATTCAAGTGGAGATGATGCTGTGTGGGCTGACTGATGTTTCTACGTGCGACCGCCTCGTGGTTGCTCGGTGGTGCGTTTGTCTATGGATCGCTAATACTTATCACGCCTTTAAAGAGTCGATCAGCAAACTACACGGCTCCAAGTACGTCGTGCCCTTGTTCTGATTACCGTTCGTGCGTGTCCGTGGTACTCATACTGAGGTCGGGTTGCGGCCTTGTCAACTACGCATATTGGGATACAACACGTACCCTGATGATTAGCTCAGATAGAATCCGATTAGCATCGTCTCGTCCATCACCATACGGCTGGTGCGACGCATATGTCCTTGATGACACTGCCAATTGGTGTGTTAGGCCCGTGTCACACACCTCGAGTGGACAACGCTTTAAAATTACCGGTCTGATATCGGCACACGAAACTTGAGGCGAGTAGTTGGTTCGCAGTAAAAGCCTTCAGATCGGCCGTTACCTTTTTCACCGAACATCCTTTTTTAGATTATCTACTGTAGATATATCATTTTTGCAAGAAGTAGCAGACAGATACCTTGTTCAATCAACGCTCAAGGTCATTGAGTGCAATCGATTCTATCCCACTTTTTTAATATAAACGTTGAGATGTCGCACACCATCCCCGATCTTTGTACACGAAATTTTCCGTCAAATGTAAAGAGTTATGAAGGAACGTTTCAATGGAAATTTGTCCTTTTGAATGCTCGCAAATCCCGAGTATATAGTGCAACGTTACGTGATCGCTGCTTGATCAACTTAAAACTGCATCCTTCTCATTTGTCTACCCATTTGTAAACTTTAATATTTTTAACAATGACCGTTTATCACATTTACAGTTGTTAGTGTAAAATGCTGAAACTGCACCCAATTTCGGTACATAGAGCTTATGCTGACTTGACTTGGGATTTACCGAGGGTTATGTGCACATCAGTCAGTACCCGATACTTGGAGGCTGTCGAGAATTGCATCACGTGCGATTATGTGTTAGGCGACCGCAACGGACGAACGTCGAGACACGGTTTCGAGATGCGAAGTACGTAAGCCACTTGGAAGGCTAACGAAATCAGATCGTCATCCACGACATAGGTTGTTATGTGGCCCAGGGTGTTGTGGCCGACCCATCACATGTCCCTCGTAACTCAT